ATCTGCAGACTGCACATGAAAGATAAGGTGTCTTATTTTATTTCCTTTATTTTTAATGGTGATTCTTCTATTAGGGGTGCGTAACTTAACTGGCTTTTTAAAATATTGAAAAATATCTTCAATAATCTAATTATGGCCCTGATCAACCTTAAAGTGTATAGTGTGTAATGGTGTGTTTTTTTCATATTGTTTGTAATGTTAATGACTTTTTTTTTTTTTATATATATATGTTTATAAAAATGAATACAAAAAATTAATTAAACTCTCCTGTATAACCAACATAATAATGGTAACTAAATAGAAACATTACTGGGAAGCAGATTTTATACAATTTCTAATAAAAAAAATTTTTTGTAATTCCTTGATTTTAAACCTCTTCATAATAAATTATTATTGAGGGACGCAAAAAACACATTTATAATTATTTTATCTTTTTATCACACTAGTGGGCATGGGACAAAATTTCTATAAATATAATAATTTAATATTTATTTAATATTAAAAATGTATTATTAGAGTTATTTTATTTATTTATATTTCCATTATGTGAAGAAACTGTAACTGGTATTTGAACATTGAAAACTCACAATCGTTGCTGGTTGCTAAGGTGTGATGTTATGTAAAAAATTATAAACTATAACCAAATCAGTTGTTACAATTGGTTATAAACATATATATATATAAACATTATAGTTTATTATATATTAATTATCGTGGGGGATGCATGGTTAGGAAGCAAGCAAAAAATAAATAAATACCCTTTGATACTCTTAAAGATATTACATTTGGTACCTAAAACTAATTAAATAATTTGCTATTCTTTTCTTTAAAATTACCCTACAGGACAGAATTTTCAATAAATATAATAGTATTTTCATTAATAGTAAAAATGCACAGCAACTAGATTTTGTCCTTATTCAAAGAAACTGACTGGTACTTGCACATTCAAAAGAAGTGTTGCTAAGATGTGATGTGCTTTTCATTAGTCTGTTGGGTTGCAGTCTATTTTTAGCCTGTTTTATGGTCTACCAGGTGAAAACTGTAAATTGTACAGTAAAAAAGTATAGTAAAAAACTGTGAAAAGCCTACAGTCACATAGCCTTGAAATTAAGACCAAAATCAACTGTAAAGTGTAATACTATGGTGTTATATTTCTATCTCTCTAGTCCCGTTCTGCCACTCGTAGAATGTTCTCTGCCCTGGCTCTGTCCACGTTCCCAGTGCTGTACTTCTTCACCTTCCTGTATTACACTGATGCTGGCTCCACTTTCTTCACCCTCTTCATGTACCTCATGGCGCTGTATGGAAGCCACAAAGCGGCGGCGCTTCTCGGCATCTGTGCCGTCCTCTTCCGCCAGACCAACATCATCTGGGTGGCGTTCTGTGCTGGCACTGTGGTGGCTCAAAAAATGGACGAGAGCTGGCGGACTGAATCGAAGAAGCGAGACGAAAAATCGCCTTCTCAGGTTCCTCTAACCATCAATGGGGCAATGAGAGTGATGCGTTTCCTGTTGGAATTCCTCAGAACGCCCAACAATATAAAAGCTGTAGTCTTGTCAACATGGCCATATATTGCTGCAGCTGTTCTTTTTGTGTTTTTTGTTGTGTTGAACGATGGAATTGTGGTTGGAGATCGTAGTAGTCACGAAGCATGTCTGAACTTTCCTCAGATTTTCTACTTCCTGTCATTTACTCTTATATTTTCCCTTCCTACCTCACTGAGTTACCAAAGGGTAGTCAGGTTTCAACAGTCTTTAAGAAAGCAGCCCTTAGTTTATGCCGTACTGATGACGTTCTTCCTGTTTTTGGTCTGGAAATTCACATTTGTTCACAAATACCTGCTTGCGGACAACAGACACTTTCCATTTTACGTATGGAAGAGGATTTTCCAGAGACATGAGCTTGTCTGTTTCCTTTTAGTTCCTGGATATGTGTTTGCAGCATGGAACTTCCTAGATACTTTGAGGTCCAAGTCGTTGTTCTGGTTTCTGGTTTTCTCCGCGTGTTTGGTGGCGGCCACTGTTCCGCAGAAACTCCTGGAGTTCCGATATTTTATCCTTCCATATCTGTTATATCGTGTCCACATCCCTGTACCGTCTTTACCCAGACTGCTGCTTGAGTTTGGCCTCTACACCGTAGTTAATGCAGCCACAGTTTACATATTCATCAATAAAACATTTCAGTGGCCTGACAGTATGGCTGCGCAGAGATTCATGTGGTGACTTGACATAAATAATAAATTAAATTACTGAATGAGTTATGTTATTTTCACATTTCCTACACATAAAGGAAATGTAATTTATTTGCCATTATTTTCATGTGAGTTGAGTATTGATTCAGGCTAATTATAATAGTGAATGTTGTTCATTGTGTCATTTTGTACTTTCCCTTTTTCCCTTGCTTATTAGTAAACATTTGGATTCTCATGTAATTTTGAATGTAAGTTTCTCATTGTAATTGGTTTCTATCAGTGTTTTTTTTCTTTCAGATTCTTATTGATCTTTTACATTTTTATTGATCTTTCCTCATTATTTCTTTGTGATAGTAAATTTGTTTTGATACACGAACGTGACTGAATACATTCATTATCTCCATAATGTCAAGTGTTTAATAAGAATTTCTGGTTTCCCAGAACGGTGTAGTTCAGTAAAGCCTGCAGTTGACTTACATATTCTACATTTCAAGCCTTTTTTTTTTTTCCTGGAAATGAGGGCTAGAGAGTATTTATGCATATTCTCAGCCTCAGATCATGTTGAGAAACGGCTCCTGAGCCAGCAAATCATGGTCATTGTCTTAATGTACACCTGAAAACTACAGGAGTGGTAAAGCTGGATTGAAAGACAAAAAGAATGACAAAATTAATATACAAACCAGAAGAGTTTCATACTTTGACTGCATTTCAAGAACTTCTGACATGTAAAGAAATCAAAACTCTTTGTTTCCTTCTCTTTGAAATGAAAACTGGACATGCAGGCCTAGTTCAAATATTTGTGATGGGAGGCAAACAAGTTAGAGCTTAAGTTCCTTATAAGGTTGTCACTATAACCTATCAGTTGAACACAAATACAGAATTCTGGCATGAAACTCTAGATGGCGCAGTCCGATAGGTCTAGCTCAATCTGACCTTGTGACATCATTGTCACATGGCAGCTGATTGGTTTTCTCCTGTATTGGTAGCCAATGAGCTTACTGTTCAATATTCAAATTCCTGGCTTTTTTTTGCTGTAGCAGTTTGCAGCGCACTTCAGAAACCCTCCACCTTCCCCAGCTCCACCTGTATAGATCTGCTACGAGGTGATTCATGTATGCTATATGGTGGTTATTCATATGTGTTATATGTGCAGCAGCAGTATTTCTTACATGCTTACAGCAGCATGTTGTGGATGTATTGGCAGTAGCAAGTCTCGGTACTTGCTCTGCCGCGGTAGCGTAGCAGATCTATTCCATCAAGACCAAATACATTAACATTGTCATGTACATTACTATGCCAATCCCTTCGAGAGTTGTCAAGACAGAACTGTAACTTTAACTTGTAAATTTCCTATCGATGCCCCTCATCCAGATTTGCCACACGTCCAGTCTCATACTCACGAAAACATGGAGAGATGTTTTACTTCCATAAAACCAGATGGTAGTTTAGTGCTAGTTCAGAAGACCCAGCAATGAAACAGTTTCTGCTGTTTGATTTATGACAATTAACCATCATCAAAGATTTATAGGTGTAAAAAATTTTAATTTCTTCAATTATGGATCACTAGTTTCTACAGTTCGCTTCTGTATTTGAAGGCCAAGCTGAGCACTGGTTCATCAATTCATGTTTGTCTTAAATTAGCATTCGGCATTTGAGGTCTTTGTTGAATAAACCAACAAATGGGACTGAAACATAGATACACAATGTAGATTGTTTTTACTAAAAAGTTGCCACATTTGAAATACACCGTGATCCTTGCAGAATAAACAAAAACTATTTTAAATTTTAAGTGTTTGTTTTAGTGTAATGAATGGAGGACACTGGAAAACCTAAAAAAAAAGAGTGAACAATATTATCTGTGGTTGAAGGACTCTGAATGAAATTTCCAGCATTTTAGTCACATGTTAGAGGAGGAGCACCTCTGTTCTATAAAAAGTCTACCTGCTTCATTTGTATCCTGAGAACACGTAAACAAGTATAAAGTAAAGTATTACCTTTTTTCTTCCTGATATGAAATTAATGAAATTATATTTTTTCTATAATTCATATACTATTTGATACTGAAGGTGTTTAATCATTAATGCATATCTGAAAAAGAAATACTTTTTAATACCTAATATGTACTTCTACATTTTTCCTGTAAACGTGTCATTTGGAAAAACAAGATCTCATTTTACACTATGCATTTCCAGTTATTTTAGTGTTTTCTCAGAACTAAATGTCAAAGTCTGTCAACCATTCACACCAAGAGGAGAAAACAGATCCCTCTGCTATCAAGAAACAATCTGTGATGGAGGAGCTTCAAACTGGGATCAGTCAACTCAGTGTTGAGGTAATGATGGAATGGTGGCATTTATCAATCTAATGTTAAACATCTCAAAATTTACTAATACATTATTAAAATCAAAAGTTGTATCTTAATATTAATGGATCTGAGCTGACACAAGTTAACAATGAACAGTTTTTTTTTAATTAACTACTGTTAGCAAAGATGAATAAGTACTGTAACAAAATGTATTGCTCATTGTTAGTTAATGTTAGTTAGTGCATTAACTAATAATGGAACGTTACTGAAAAGTGTTACGCATAAAGCTCCGTGTCAATATCATTTGGCTCACCACATGTAATTTGGTATAACAAACCTTCCTTTTATACCATGTACTGTTGTTTCTTTTTTGTTTGTTTTATTGTCTTTTCTCCGACCAACATCTGACAAATCTGACAACCAATTACTCGAAGAGGCGAAGACCTATTACTCTGCTATGAAGAAACAATCTGAAATGGAAAATGAGGAAGAAAAGAGGGAGACAAAAAATGACCCACTAGACCAAATATGCTCTATGTTCCAGAAACTTAGTATTAAGGTCATTTGTATTAATTGATTACTTTATTTAATTGACTGACAGATCTCAATGCATATGCAGAATGGTAATGCATACACTTTGCTTTACTTTTTCAAGCCTGCATAAGAAGACAACACAGATTTACTTAAGACACCGGAACTAACAGCCGAAGTGGTATGGTCTATTTCTTTCTAAGGTTGTAAAATGTTGTTCATTGTTAGTTAATTATATCAAATATGTTAGCTAAGGTTAATGAATTGAAACTTATAGTAAATGTATAGTTCCCTACTTTCTTTCCATGGAATGCAAAAGGAAATGGTTCAAGACTCTTCATGCTCTCACATAAATAAACTGCATATCACTGAGAAAAAAAAAAAACGCTGAAAAAACTTTTTATTCCTCTATAGGACTCCTTGAGATGAGCAGCATCATCTGATGAGAGTCCACAAAATGACAGAAATAACGCCAGGGTCAGATTTGTTATCAATGTCCCAGTGCGGGTTACACTTGAAATGAGTAAAAATCCTGAATCATATTGTCAGAAGTTTCTTGATCTTCTGAAGAGCACCGCTTTCATGAAAGAGCATGAGTTCCGTTATGAGGATATTGCTATAGTTTTTGTCCTTAATGGAAAGGAATCAGATAGGGAAGCCATAAAAGCTGAATTTGAGAAGGAGATTAATAGTGAAATCGCTTTTGAAAAATTCTGGTTTCCCTGGCCAGAAAACAATGGCATCCCATATCGAGAAATAAGAGAAACAATTAAAAACAGTGAACAAACCAAGAAATTAGTAAGACACTTTAGGGACAATGACCCTAATGTTAAAATGTATTTCTGCTTTTTTGATGCAAATTGATTTTAATCATGTGTTGAGCTCTTACATAGATGTAATCATAGAAGACAAGTATCCAACAGTGATGTCAACTGGTCATCTATTCCCTGAAGACAGTAAACTCAGAATAAAGAGCAAACATGACCATCAGGTGCGCATAATAACAGCTAAACATTTTCCTCTGGGCACTTACTACCCAGAGCCCAACTTCTGTGTGCTTCTACCTGATGGATATGATACTCTTCCTGAGCGTTTTACTTATACAAAATCTAAACAAATGAGCATGGAATCTCCTTTTTTGATAAGACAAGTAAAACAACGTAACGGTTTCTTAGCTGTATATGCAGACAAAAACCCAATTATCACTCCCGTTCCAGAAAAAAACAGAACCACACCAACCCAAGGACCTGGGCAATTAGTGCTTATTCACACGGAGAGCTTGAAGTTACTGAGAAATATAAACAGGAACAATTTGGAGAAGAATACCAAAAATACAAGCGTACAGCAAATTGTTCACATATCTCTTTGGTAATGAAAGAAGAGCCAGAAGAGCTAGAAGAACCAGAATAGCCACAAGAGCTATAAGAGCCAGAAGAGCCACAAGAGCCAGAAGAGCTAGAAGAGCCAGAGGAGCCAGAAGAGCTAGAAAAGCCAGGAGAGCCAGAAGAGCTAGAAGAGCCAAACGTGCCAGAAGAGCTAGAAAAGCCAGATGAGCTAGAAAAGCCAGAAGAGCTAGAAAAGCCAGAAGAGCGAGAAGAGCCAGAAGAGCTAGAAAAGCTAGAAAAGCCAGAAGAGCCAGAGGAGCCAGAAGAGCTAGAAAAGCCAGGAGAGCCAGAAGAGCTACAAGAGCTAGAAGAGCCAGAAGAGCCAAACGTGCCAGAAGAGCTAGAAAAGCCAGAAGAGCGATAAGAGCCAGAAGAGCTAGAAGAGCTAGAAAAGCCAGAAGAGATAGAAGAGCCAGAAGAGCTAGAAAAGCTAGAAGAGCCAGAAGCGCTAGAAAAGCCAGAAGAGCTACACAAGCCAGAAGAGCTAGAAGAGCTAGAAAAGCCAGAAGTGCTACAAAAGCCAGAAGAGCTACAAGAGCTAGAAGAGCCAGAATAGCCAAAAGAGTTAGAAGCATTATGCTAGAAGGTTGGGAGCTGATGAAAATTATAAAAAATTATGAGTTCATCATTCATTGTTACTGTAATTTACAAATTATTACTGTTAAATTAGTTTATATGTAGAGAGTTAGATCATGTGTTTTATCATGTTTTTTTTTTACTTATTGTATCCTAACCCGAACTGATGTATAAGAACGGGGTCTCATGAGTATTTGTGTGTATTTTATTTGACCTAATCTAGAGTGAGAACTACTTACTTCTAATAAACCATTGACAACTAATTTACTACTGGTTTAAATACTGTACATCAGTTAGGTTAACAAGTTGTTAACAAAGTATAATAAAACCTATTATTAATACCAGTATTAATAATAGTATATTACCACCTAAGTCTTTACATATAAGCAAATCAAACAATTATAGTTTGTTCATTTCAGTGACAATGAATGCAGAACTCACAGTAACACTTTAGAATAGGGAACAATTATTCACTATTAACTATGACTTTTCCCTCAACAAATTCCTAATTTGCTGCTTATTAATAGTTAGTAAGGTAGTTGTTAGGTTTAGGTATTGGGTAGGATTAAGGATGTAGAATAAGGTAATGTAGAATAAGGCATTAATATGTGCTTAATTAGTACTAATAAATGGCTAATATTCTAGTAATATGCATGCTAATAAGCAACTAATTAAGAGACCCTAAAATAAAGTGTTACCGGGACCATTTCTCAATTTTAACTAGTTGTTTATAAAGCAGATATTCTGCATGACAATATTCTACATCCCTAATCCTAATACCTAAATGTAACAGCTACCTTTCTAAGGAGTAATTAGGAGTTTATTGAGGCAAAATGTATAGTTAATAGTTAACTAATAGCGAGAATTGGACCTTAAAATAAAGTGTGACCGAAATCACTATTTGTACATATTAATGTATTAACAATGTAGAGACAACAGTTTATAAACTATGAATCAATTATAAACTAATAGTTTGAAAATGATTTATAAGTGTTGCTGTATTAATATAAAGTTTTACCAACTGATGTATGAATGAGATGATTTCTGTGCATGTTTTAACATGAGAAAATGGGATAATGAATCACCTTGCATTTAGAAAGAAAACCACCAAATAAGTCTAATTTCCAGACCATCTGAAATCATTTCACTAGCAGTTTCGTTTAGAGCAGTAAGAATATGAAGAATCCTTGCTTCTCTGTCCACTGACTTTTTGAGCACAGTAATTTCAGAACAAGCATACATTTTTTATATTAGTATTTATCTTTAGTATAATCAACCACATCAGAAATCCAACAAATAATCAAATTAGCATGACAATTCTGTATATTGAAAATTAGCACTGTATCTTTGTTGTCCAGAGGTGTCAGTAGTACCCACCTGTGAACTTCCAGTTTGTCCTGTCACGGCTAAGGAGGCCATTTGTGAGCTCTTTGCCTGTCCTGTCACGGCCAAGGAGGCTGTCGGTAAACTCTCTGCCCATCCTGTCACGGCTATGGATGCCGTTTGTGAACTCTCTGCCTGTTCTGTCACGGCTAAGGAGGCCGTCTGTGAATCCTCGTCCTACCCTGTCACGGCTATGGAGGCCGTTTGTGAACTCTCTGCCCGTCCTGTCACGGCTATGGAGGCCGTTTGTGAACTCTCTGCCTGTCCTATCACAACTATGGAGGCCGTTTGTGAACTCTCTGCCTGTCCTGTCATGGCTATGGAGGCCGTCTGTGAACTCTCTGC